TGATTTACAAGAATTTATCTGATGAATATTAATGAGAGTAGCATAATGTATTTTTTGGCACGATAAAAGATGATTTATAAGAATTTATCTGATGAATATTAATGAGAGTAGCATATGCGAGCCATCTATGCATTAAATATAATTTATAGGTGAAGATATCCTATCGTACCATCGGTTACTCGTGTGAACTGTATATTTGGCTCTTCCTATCCTTTGGATCGAGCAATCTATCACGTGCCATGTTGAATGCCATATACGTACACGCATCAACTAGGAGATGTGAGCCACTTAACGTTACGTGTACATTCATACTCACGTCATCCCTGTGAGAGGGACATGCGAGAGGCATGCTCAAAGTTGCACTTGTCACCACCATAACTAATATAGTTTCAACATATGAGAGAGAAGAAAATTTGCCGAGGAGAGTGACATGCACGAGCCTAATTAAACAACAAAAAAATCTTCATAGAAAGACACTTATTTTCTGTGTTATTTTTTTCAAAATTAATTAACTCTTATTAGGCATAAAGACTTTCATAAAAACCTCAAAGAAAAATGTAGTTCAATGTTCATGTATGATTTTTTGAACAGAAAACATACATACTAAATACGTTCCACCATCATTCATATGTATAAAAATATTTAATCTGGTGTATTCTAGGATGCTTAGATTATGTTTAGGAATGCATTTGTATTTCTAATATATCTTTGGAGAAAGAGACTTAATGAATATGTTGTTAAGAAATATTTTGAGTGTTTGATAAATAATTAATAACAATTATATTTTAAATATATATTGATATAAGAGTTAGTTTAGTAAAATCGTATCTCAAAAGTCTATTGAATAACATGTGACAAATTTATCATTCTAATATTTTCATATTTATTCAAAAAATAAAAATAATTTTAATTAAATTAATAAGTAATTAAGAAAATAAATAAATGAAAGCATATAATTTTATAAAAATATTTCGTATTGCCTAGATATATAATAAATAAAAATGTAATCATATAAATAAATATAATTTTTAAAAATAATAAATAAAAATTTACCTTATAAAAAATATAAATCATGTTATTTTTCACTAAGTCATGTTTGTAATATTGTTATTTTATATAATATCATAAGGCATTTTAAGAATTTAAAAATTATATTAACATCCTATAAATATTAAAATATTAATACTATCTTAATGTAGCATCAACATTTGAACATTCACAATATAGCATCCAGCCAAATATAATTTATAAAAATATTACCTAACGTCAATTTGTATTTAAAGCATGCATCGAAAGTTCAATGAACATTTCAAGTATATTGTAAAAAATTATCAATTAAATATTAACATGTGGCATAGTTCTATCTATTCTTAACATGTGATATATGCATATGAGAACATTAACTAAAAGTAATTGATACAGGAACTAGAAAATAATTTTAAAAAAAGGGTCATAAAAATGTATCGAACATTTAGTTTTGAATGATGTTGATCATTGATAACAACATCAAATCCTTAAGTGATGATATATCTCACATCATGATTTTAATTATATTTACAAGTGCTATATGAGCCTACCATCACTGACTTGCGTATAAGTATTTTATATCAATGGCTCTAATTCATATATATATATATATATCTCGCAATGACCAAATATATTATATTCAAACATCCTACTGATGTATCACATTATTTTCCTATCTTTGTAAGGATATATATGCATTTTCATTCATATAATAATGAGAGTTAAGTTGCAAGATTTTTCTAGGGAAAGATATTAAAGAGAGAGGGTGCTATTGGTATAACACTGGAGAGACTGTCAATACTCTATATCCATCATCTAAAAAGAAACTCTACATCAATCGATTGCCCTCCTCGTTTTCATTACGAAATATACCATCATCATAAAAGATGATTCCATTATACATGTCGATCATTGAAATCAGCATTATAGAAAAGGATTTGATCACGAACAGTAATTGTTGAAATACTATAGAAATATTATTATTATTTATTTGGTGAGTCTATAAATACAATATCAAAACCTAACATATCGAGTATACATGTCCTCCTCGTTTTCATTACGAAATATACCATCATCATAAAAGATGATTCCATTATACATGTTGATCATTGAAATCAGCATTATAGAAAAGGATTTGATCACGAACAGTAATTGTTGAAATACTATAGAAATATTATTATTATTTATTTGGTGAGTCTATAAATACAATATCAAAACCTAACATATCGTGTACCACAACCATATACAATAAAACGGTATTTGAGAATAATATCCTCGCTATAAATATCAATATATATAATATTAATTTTTATTATAAATTTTTAATGTAAATTATATATATTTTTATATAAAATTTAGTTTTGATTATGGCTCGGTGCGAATCAGAACCCAATTTAAATGGTTCGACAATTAAAAAAATACATACTTTTTTTTATTTTAAATTATATAAATTTAAATTTTAAAAAAAGAAATGATTTGAACCGAAAGTGAAATCGGAATCGCTGTTCCGGTTCTAGAATGATCCTGTACGGTGTCGGTTCCCAAAATTAGAACCGGAAGTGCAGTTTGTGTCTCGCATAGAAATTTCTATGCCACGTTGGTGCATAGAGAACGAGGAAGGCTACTCCTGGTGCGGGGCGGTTCGAGAACCTTCGTACCGGCGGGGCGGAAGCTTGAACCACTGGTTGACCGACGCGAATCTCCAACGGCGACCTCCTCCCACCCGTCCCCCCATTTTCTCGCCCCGCTACATCGCTCGTCCTTCCCGCGTCGAAACCTTCCTTCCCGTTACAGTCACCGAGAGATTCCGTTACCGCGGGACCCCTCGAACCACCCGGCTGACGCCGTACCGCTCCCGCGTCACGTCGAGCCACAAAACGCGGGTCGGCCTCTCGCACCGCGCGTCCTCCGAACCACTACCAGCCCTCTTCCCTGTTTGATGTCTTGGTGGAGACAGGTGAGCCTGACCCGTCTCCCAAGGCGACGTAAATACCCAGAAAAAATAATATATATATATATATATATAGAGAGAGAGACTGAGAGAGAGAGAGAGAGAGAGAGAGAGAGAGAGGAGAAAATCCGAAGGCAATATGATATTCATTTGTGTGCCATCGTGAAAGAGAAAATTTGGGCGGAGTGAGTGTGGGGGACAAAATGGATGGTGGTGATGCGGTCAAAATGATGGTCCAGGGGAGCAGGGGTCATCGTCGGGTCCAAATCAAAGCAGACATGTGATGATGGGTCACCGCAATTGTTGGTGATGGACCCCCGCCCGGCCGGCTCGACCGTCGAGGCCTGCCGCCCACCTCCACCCCATTTCCACCTCAGCGTTCCTCTTGCTTATTTACATGTAATAACATCTTTATCCTTAGTTTAAGATGGGGATAATAATTCATCAGTAAAATAATTCCTAATAGGTTTAATATATCTATAATATTATTATTATTATTATTGCTAATGCTACAGCTTTACCGAGGGACCCAGAAATCTAAATAAGCTTCTCTTGCTGGTGACCGAGAGAACAATGACATCCTCCTTTCGTAGCTTGCAATGTGCCACATACAATGATTGACTTGTAGTCTCTTAATCAATGATAGCTTTTAGGAAAAAGAAAACAGAGCCAACCATCTCTAGATTTTGACTAATCGACCATGATTTAGAATCATGCTTTCTACTATTGAAGAAGAAAGATGATGTAAAAGGTAGACCATGGAAGACATTTCCATATATTACACGTCAATCCATCGCTCACCTCTAATAATACACCATACTGTTCTGATTATTTATGAATCTTAGTTAAAATAAGAGAATGTTAAATATTTTCACAGTCTTTTTCATTCGTGTAGCATGTTGTTGTTTCATATATTGTTTATATGATAAATTTATTGAAATATATTGTGTCTAATTATAAATATACCTTTTGAGAAATACATCCAATTAATTATATATACTATACTTGATAAATATTTATGGCAATCTTTAAGTCGTAGAATACGATGTAATCCAAATTATATTTCTCTTTAAGAACAGTTACCAACACATGAAGTTGCATAGGTCTATCAAAATCATGCGAGATAATATTATTATGAAAAGATACATATTGATCACAATTTTTTTATTAATTAACTATACGACTAAGAATTACTAGATCGAAAAAAAATAAAAAAACTAAATTCACTATATACATCGCTTGGTCTAATACATGTATGCGATCAAGCCTACCAAAATTGATGGCTTAATGAGTCTTACAATAATCATGCATCATACAGTAGTATATGGGATTTGTACAACAGTGAAAAGTACAATGAATTAGATTAGATAGGAAGTCAAGACATTGTGGCCGAATCATACGTCTAATCCTTATTTTAGTGTCTTAGCATCTGGTATATCACATTATTTGTTACATCACATCACATGGGATGAAAGTTCTGCTTTTCCTACCGTACACGTGTCCGCAACTGGACACCGCTTGTAACAATCGGAGGAAAAGTTGTTGCCTGGAACCGTGGGGCCCCGTCATAGTTACACGTTTCGACTGCTCGTGAGGTGATTTATCTCGGGTCCCACTTTCTCTGTCATCCTCCACCGTTAGATCAGTTGGAACGAAAAGAGTTTTTCGACCAGTTTATAGCTGTACCCGTTGTATCACCTGCGTCGTCACAATGTAAGCAGGTGGTCTCCGCGTGGCCCTTTGCGTTGCCCAGGCGCAAGGCTACTGACTGATTCGCAAGCCGGACCCATCCGTTTGGTGATCATCCAACCATAGTCGTCGATTGCGTTCGGTGCCACCACTGGCGCCCAATAATATTTCGACACGTAAAAGACTCCACACAATTCCGTGCATGTTGTCGTTGCGCGACTCGATCACTCGCCTCGCCCTAACGTCTCGTTTAGAGGCCGTACTCGACGCCTTTTATCGGCGTTGCCATTTTCTCGGCGTCTTCTCGCGTGCAGATTCGTCCTCCTCTTTACTCCTTACTTTTCCTTTCCCCACTCTTCCTCTGTGGATACAACAAATAGAGAGAAAGGGCGTCTCCGAGGCGGTGTTCGGAGGCGACAAGCAGATCTGCTATCCCGTCGTCTGGTCCTCCGATCACGGTAACTGGAGAACTGAATGATTTGGTTTATTTGGTAGTTGCTTCCTTCCCATCTTGTCCAAATGCCTGTGCTCATCCATGCTTCTCGTTTGTCTTTTCGATCTTTGGTCTCGTTTGTTAGCTTGTGAGTTAAGGATCTGAGACCGAACTCTTCTGTGGTGATTCTCAAGGATCATACGGCGATCTGAACTGTTGTTCACGCAGTTTAGATATTTAGAGTAAGAGCATGTGCTGTGCTTTGTTTATGTTCGCTTTCTCACGGCGGATCTTGGCATCAGAAGCGGCCGATATGCGGGGTTCTCGACTCATGACTGTCGACTTCCGTACAATGTTTTTGTTTACGATTTCGAGATTCTGTTACCTACTTATTTCGCTTTCGATGGTTTTTCCTTTGCTTTGGTTTGGGTTTTTGGTTTGGTCAGTGTTAATAGGAGCTGATCGTTTCCCTGTCATGGATTAGCGATCTTATGCTTTTCCGTATACGATTCTTAGGTTCCGTGATCTGGTTGATTTTAGTTGTAGCGTAGATTGTTCTCTATACCATTTCTTTCTATTGTATGTTACTGGAAATGTAGGTGTGATGTCGTCTAATGTTCGTTTTGAGAGTTATGTAGCGGTATTTTTGGTTGAAGCTCTTCCTTTTTCTCTCTCTAATAAATTTGGTAGTTCGAGTTTGTTAAGTAGATACTCGAGGTCTTTCTTCTTTTTGAAGCTTATTAATGATTGTTTCGGAATCATACTGTATTACTTGGATATTTTTTACTTAAAAACGATGCAGCCAATGATTGTTCATAAGGAAACCGAGTTGACCTTTGTGCAATTAAAGAGTCGTGACTGCGGAAAGAATTTTTATTTCCATAATATTCAAATCTGTGTAAATACCAGAAAAACGCCATTCCAAATTTGTCCAGAAAGAAAAAAGAAGAAGGCAAACATAGCAGGGCCAAAAGCCACAGCTATTATGTTGGATGTCTTCCTACCTATTTTTGCTGTAATTATAGTGTGGTCGATTACAAGCTTAGGAATTTTACTTTGACGATTAATTTTCATATTATCTGTTTAAATTTGGCTGAACTTTTTATATGTTATTTCCTTATCTAGCATAGATTTTTGTGTGATTCAGTGTAGCCATTATCTTTGTGAAAATTTTGCATGATCTTTTGGGTAGTCAAGCTTTATTTCAATGGAAGATTCATTTCCTGTGAATCTGCTGTTTTATCTGTGAATATTTTAACCTAATATTACAGCAGAAACATTTTACTCTCTTCTGTGAAAACACTGTCTATGATGATGTTTCTGATTCTTCACTTATCTAGGTAATATCATTTTGTCTGTCCACATCTATTGTTTATTGTTACAATGTTAGATCTTATGCTATGAGTCTTTTGGTAATGATGTCTTCTGCGATTCCCATCAGTTTGGATTCTGCTTATTCATTGACTCTTGCATATTTCTGATTCTGAAAACAAATTGAGTAAACATTCTGTTTTCTTTTTTGTTCGTGTTCTGATGGATTTGCATCTCATGACTGATGAGGAAAGTACCTGTTTAGAGAACATTTCCCCTTGTTTGTTCAGCTGTAGTATAGATGATGCTGATACCTGATAGGATTGCTTTATTTAATTTCTTCCTCTATTTGATAATAACTTGATCTTTACATTCTTGTCCAGTTGCCAACATGGTAAGGAAACGCAGGACTGAACTTCCTTCTGCTGGGGAGAGTTCAGAATCTCAAGAGAGCAGTGGCAGAAGTGGGCGAGCTGGGCCCCAGCGCCCACTTGAAAGGGCTCCGGCAATGCAACAACAAGGACGTGGTGCTGGACGTGGCTGGGTTCAGCATGGTCAGCAAAGTCGTGGTTTTGGGAGTTATTATCAGGGAAGGGGGAGTGGACAGCCTCATGGGGGTTCAGCACCACAACAATCACGTGGACCATCTCCAGGGTATGAAGGCCAGGGTTTGGCTCAACCAAGAGGAGGAATTCCACATCAACACTACGGACGCCGAAGCAGTGGCAGCATGACTACTGGGCGTGTGGCTGGTCCTTCAGCTGCAGGTCCATCGAGGCCACTGGCTCCCGATCTGCACCAAGCATCATCACAAGCGAGTTCATCACAGCAGTCAGAGGCTTCCTCTATCCAACAACAGTTTCAGCAGCTCTCTATTGAGGGTGAAACTGCAAGTCAAACAATACAACCTGTGGTTCCTGTAGCTCCATCCAGCAAGTCTTTAAGGTTTCCGTTGCGTCCTGGAAAAGGGAGCTACGGTGTTAAATGTGTGGTCAAGGCAAACCATTTCTTTGCTGAGTTACCTGATAAAGACCTTCACCAATATGATGTTAGTTTTACCTGTTCAGTATACTTCAATTTATCACACATATTGATTGTATTCCTAATATTTCATTATATATGAGTACTTAACCACAGGTGTCCATCATACCAGAAGTTACATCACGTGGTGTCAATCGTGCTGTGATGGAGCAGCTAGTCAAACTGCATAGAGAGTCTTATTTAGGAGGGCGGCTTCCAGCTTATGATGGCAGGAAAAGTCTTTACACAGCCGGACCACTGCCATTTACTTCTAGAGAGTTTCAAATCCTTCTAGTTGATGAAGATGATGGTTCAGGCACAGAGAGGTCCTTTCATGGGAACCTTTACCTCTTTCCAAGACATAATTTTGGTGTCATTTTTCTGGAAAAAGATTCATGAAAAATCTCTGTTTTGTAGGAGGCAAAGAACATTTAGAGTTGTTATTAAGTTGGCTGCCCGTGTGGATCTTCACCACCTTGATATGTTTTTATCCGGTCGACAGGCTGATGCTCCCCAAGAAGCCCTACAGGTTCTTGATATTGTGCTACGTGAACTGCCTACCACTAGGTAAGGGTCAATATGTCTCCACCAAGCCATTTATTCTTTCTTTTATCAAAATTTATCAGAGTATTAATCCCCTTTGACGTGTTGTAGGTACTTTCCCGTTGGCCGATCGTTTTATTCCCCTGACCTTGGGAGAAGGCAGCCACTTGGCGATGGATTAGAAAGCTGGCGGGGGTTTTATCAGAGTATTAGGCCAACACAAATGGGCCTGTCACTAAATATCGGTAGTGACATCTTTCTTTCTCGATTTGTGTGCATGTCTGCGTTTGTCAATTTAATCCTGTTTGCTTTTGATATCAAACTGAAGGAACCACTGCTAAAAATATTTGAGAAAAGTTCTGATTCAACAAAATTAGTTCCATTTTAAATAACCTGGATTTTTGCTTGATGTTGAATGTGAGGGTCACCTGATGTTGTGGTTCCTTTCGACATGCTTGGGCAGATCTATGTTGAGCTAGATATTGCATATGGCTTTTGTTATTGCTTATGGTTATTGTATTCGTTTGGTTATTTTTTGATGCTGGGCATGTCTATCTGAGAGTTTTTAATTGATAAATGGTGCATATTTCATGAATGACAAATCAATAGCTAGGGTTAATTCCTGCTAATACTGACTCTGCACCCTCATGTTTGAAGTACATATATGCTTAAGTTTTTCTCTTTGTGCGGACATGTCTTCTACTTCCTTCATTGAGCCCCTGCCTGTCATTGACTTTGTCACCCTATGATGAGCTAGATATCGCATATTGCTTTTGTTATTGCTTATGGTCATTGTACTCATTTGTTTATTTTTTGTTGCTGGGCATGTCTATCTGAGAGTTTTTAATTGATGCATGGTGCATATTTCATGAATGACAAATCAAGCTAGGGTTGATTCCTGCTAATACTGAGGTTGCACCCTCATGTTTGAATTACATATATGCTTAATTTTTCTTTTTGTGCAGACATGTCTTCTACCGCCTTCATTGAGCCCCTGCCTGTCATTGACTTTGTCACCCAACTTTTAAGTAGGGATGTCCGAGCAAGACCGCTCTCCGATGCTGATCGGGTGAAGGTATGTATTCAGTACTTTGCAAAATTGTCTCCTTTCTGTTATACTTTCACACGATAGGTGTGGAAGACCATGACAGTTTTGTTTCCTTTTGTATCTGTTGTATCTCATATATGTTTGTGTGTGTATATATTTCAGATCAAGAAGGCTTTAAGGGGAGTAAAGGTTGAGGTTACTCATCGTGGGAATATGCGCAGAAAATATCGCATTTCTGGTTTAACATCACAAGCAACTAGAGAGCTTACGTATGTGACTACTCATTTTGATCAGTTGCTTGGCTTTCTTTTTTATTCACTACTGGAGTTCATGATGTTAACATGATTCGTGTACACTGACATATGGTAACAATAGTTTCCCAGTCGATGAAAGAGGAACAATGAAATCTGTTGTTCAATATTTTCAAGAAACATATGGTTTTACCATCCAGCATACCAATCTCCCCTGCCTACAAGTTGGCAACCAGCAAAGGCCAAATTATCTACCGATGGAGGTGAGAACACCTTATTATCTGCTATTGTGGATCATGATTTTCTTGATTAATATCCCCTTTAGGTTTATTGACTACAAAAGCATTTACAACAAAATAACTAAGATTATATGTGCTGATTTTTTTATATGGTTTAAGGTCTGTAAAATTGTGGAAGGCCAAAGATATTCCAAAAGATTGAACGAGAGACAAATAACTGCTCTTCTGAAGGTGACATGCCAGCGCCCTCAAGAACGGGAGCTTGACATTCTGCAGGTACATTTGGTTTAACTTCATCAATAATAGCCTTCAGTCCTATAAATGATTTCTTTGCTATATTTTGGTAGTTCTGGTTGTTGAATTTAGCATTCTAGTTCTATAGTGCATGCATTGGAATGATGTGTTCTTATAAGTGAGATAACCATTATAAATGTGGATCATTGCTATGATGTCATATTATACGTTCTCTTTGCACTTTACATGCAATATGTCAGTATTTTATCCCGGCCTTTATCTGTTAATTACTGTATTTTAAATAAGGTTCTAGCTTTTATCTATTTCTTTTCTACTTTTTGCATGAGTTGGAATGATATGCTATAAAAAAATCATCGTGAATATAGAAAATGCCAATGGGGACCCACTCAGACTGTTTTTTTTATTTATATATGACTTGTTATAAGAAATTATAATTTTAGAATTTGGACGGCCAGTTTTTGAATCTTTAAGTAGGTTTAGGAGGATTTTAGTGGTCTACTTGTTGAGCATAAAAAACCACAACCAGTGTGGCAGCACGTCTGACATATCATATGTATTCTACATGATGAAAATTTCCTTATTAAATGATTACATGTTGCATAATACAGATGTATTTTCTTCACATGCCCTAGTATCTTCACTCTAGTTTTAGGAAATTTGCCACCTTTTACTTGTGGTTGCTTTTTGTACATGTAGTTGATTTTTTGAATTGCATTTTCTGCTATAATTCATATTAGTTTAATAATATAGAATACCCGTTTAGTTCTACAGAATGCCTGTGTTGACATAAATTAATCCTAATGCCTCTCGTGTTAGTTTCTAACATGGGATTATATACAATTAGGAAACAACCTATGACTGTATCTAACACAGCCATTAGTTTGCTTTGATGCAATATGTCTATCTTTCTAATATATTCTTTTTGCTCTTTAGACGGTTCATCACAATGCTTACCATGAAGATCCTTATGCTAGAGAATTTGGTATCAAAATCAGTGAGAAACTCGCATCAGTTGAGGCACGTATTTTACCTGCACCATGGGTATGTGACTGGAGATCAGTTTTGTTTTGTGGTCGCCTTTGATTTTATAAATAACAGTAGGTTCCTGTTGTCTCATTGAAGTACACTGTTTAAAATGTTGATCTCAACTTTTGTTTTTGCAGCTTAAATATCATGATACTGGCAGAGAGAAGGATTGCCTGCCAAGAATCGGCCAGTGGAATATGATGAATAAGGTACCACCTGATACATTACATATATTAATTGAAGTTATTATATCTTTGATGCTTCTACATAATAATACTGCAGTATGGTTTTGTCACTTGCATCCACTAACATAAATATGTTCTTCTAGTTCTAGTTTTATGAGTGCGCTATCTTTTCATGCTTCAGCTCAAGCTTTGTCTTGAGTTCTGCTCAAGTCTGATGCACATCGAAACTCTGATGTGTCACACTATCTGAGCTGGACGGCCAACCTCAATGGAAATATGAGTCAGAGTGTGCTAGTTATTGATTATATCTCTGATGGGTAATTTAAATCTTTGAACTAGGGGCTATGTCAAGTAAGTACTTGGTTATCTTTAGCTTTTCTTATCACGGCCTATCCGTCAAAGCAGTGGCATTGCTTATTCCTCCAACTCTATGCTGTGGTCTTAACAAAATGTTGGTGCATTCTGGACCTGAGTCCTTCATGGATGCTTAAGCTTATCCATGTTTTCTAACTTTGTGCCTGTTAGGGCTATCATTAGGATAAAAAGGTAATAAGGCACTTGGAATTGTTGAGCCCAAGGGTAGGTATCATCTAGGCAATTCTCATGGGGGTAAAAAGGTCTTTATTTGATAGTACTTGATCATTTCATCAGTATTCAGAGTGACAATCAGGTAAAGATTGTCGGAATTGTCAACTACTCTTATTAGCCTATTATCACTTTCTATCCATTTCTGTCCTGTCTTGATTACGTGGATGGCATGTGGTTTTAATTAGGATAATAGTGCTTGGCAGTGTTTTCTGCTGTCTTCAAGTGATTGTGTAATATGAAATGCAAACAACTATCTTCTTGATTGATCTCTGGTTGTAGGAATTCTGATATATATTTTATACTTGTTCTGGATAATCTTAATTTAGTGGGTAATTGCATATTTTCCAAATTGATAATTGGTAGTGTTATTTTGCATGTTTAATTGACGAACTTGAGTGGCTATGAAGATGTCAGAACAAAATGATGAGTGTCCTGGCTTATACATTTTATACTCTATGCTACCTCAAACCTTATTAGAAGCCCTTGGTTGAGTTGACTTTGAAGCATGGCGGTAATCTTTAACTGAAAATAATACTCCAAATTTATTGGTAGCACACTTCAGACTATTTTTGATGGTATGCTTCACATGGTTTCAGGAATATGGCATTTTATTCCAAACATATAATTGAATTGCAGAAGCTCCAAATCATTACACAGATTGAAGAGTTGGACTTGTAGTATGAATGCTTTAGAGGTTGTCCCTAACTGTTGAAAGTTCTGCTGAAGGTTGTGGCCTTGAGATTGGATGATTTTGCTGAAATTTGCTATATATCAAGTCTGGAAAAAGTAGAAAGGGGTTGTTTCATATGTATATCTGCAAAATTTAAAATTCTTTTCACTCCTTGAAAAGGGCATATATTTCTTGATCATGTGATAATGTAAAATGCAAAATTACCCTGAATGCCCTCTCAGGGTATATACTATATTTTAGCTTATCAATAGCAAATGCATAATCAGAGAACTCTTGTGTTCTATATGTTATACAGTACTGAAAAAAATTGCAAATTATTGTAAGCCATACTACTTAACACAACTAATTGCTTCTATGAATTGTCTATCTTGGACTTCGGTGCAGTTATTGTTTGATTTCCTATTCAGAGGCTTCCTCGTATAAAATTTAAATTATACTTTCAGGTTTCAAGACCCATCCTGTCTTTCATGGCTCTAATTTCTCATCCATAATCCATCCTTACCAATGCTAGACTAAACTGTGTTTCCATCCCCTGATCTGTTCACCTAAAATTTCTCTAGTGCTGAACTGTATTGTTTCATAATGCATCATATATCATTGCAGTTATGACAGCTATCATTGAGAAAATTAGCATATCATTTTACTCCCTGGTATCTTCTTATTATTGTGTAACCTTTCACTTTGCTAATGCTTGTAATCTAGAAAATGGTGAACGGTGGGAGAGTAAACAACTGGACATGTATAAATTTTGCACGGAATGTCCAAGAAAGAGTTGCCCGTGAATTTTGTCACGAGGTTGCACTCATGTGCCAGACATCTGGAATGGTATGCCTTACATATTTTCTTAGGATTTGTTCATGTTTTAAATATCTTTCTCATTTGCTTCTGTGATTATGTTAACAATGGCACTTTTAACTTTGTTGTCTAAACTAGTGCAGGATTTTTCACTTGAACCGGTGCTTCCTCCTTTGAGCGCGAGGCCAGACCAGGTGGAACGAGCTTTAAAAGCACAGTACCATGATGCGATGAGCTTACTCCAACCCCATGGCAAAGAACTTGATTTGCTTATTGTGATATTGCCTGACAATAATGGTTCTCTTTATGGTAGGAGTCTTCTTTGAGCACATAGTTTTCATATTTTTCAGCTTATGGCACCTGGATAATATCTAGTTCCACTGTACTTGAGCTCTATATTGTCTCTCTACTTTTCTTTCAGTTTGTTTGGTATCATTATTTGTGTAGGTGATCTAAAGCGAATTTGTGAGACAGAGCTTGGACTGATTTCACAGTGCTGTTTGACTAAACATGTTTTTAGAATGAGCAAACAGTATCTGGCAAATGTTGCTCTCAAGATAAATGTGAAGGTTGGTTAAGACTGACGTTGAGTATAGATCTTTTTCCATTTCTTGGTTTCTCTGAACTTGACATGAGTGTTAAAATGGACAGGTTGGTGGTAGGAATACGGTTCTTATGGATGCCTTGAGTAGGCGCATACCACTTGTTAGTGACAGGCCTACAATTATATTTGGTGCTGATGTAACACATCCTCATCCCGGCGAAGACTCTAGCCCCTCTATCGCAGCTGTAAGATGATAGTCCTTTATGTGAATGCAAATGACATGCTTCTGTTTTAGGCTGTGATTTTGACTTTGATGGATGCTTATCATTTAGTTCTGTATTTTTTTCAGGTTGTTGCTTCTCAAGACTGGCCTGAGGTAACAAAGTATGCTGGTTTGGTTTCTGCTCAGCTTCATCGGCAAGAGTTGATACAGGATCTGTTTAAAGTCTGGCAAGATCCTCAGCGTGGAACAGTGACTGGTGGGATGATAAAGTATGTTTGTGGTCTTTTTTTTACCATTGAGGACTGATGGCTGTAACTTTTCACTATATAGCTGCATCAAGAAATTTATCTGACTTTGAAGGATTTGCAGGGAACTACTTATTTCCTTCAAAAAAGCTACTGGACAGAAGCCTCAAAGAATTATATTTTACAGGTGTGACTAAACAGAGTTGTCTATTTTGATTGTTTTAAACTGTCTTGATGATTAATGATGTTTCTCTTTGCAGGGATGGAGTTAGTGAGGGGCAATTCTATCAAGTTTTACTTTATGAACTTGATGCAATCAGAAAGGTTCAATGTTTAATACATTACCATCTTCAGATTTTTCTAGTTTTGCTTATCAATTGACTCAATTTTTTTTTTAATTTCACTTTGACTCTCTTCAGGCGTGCGCCTCGCTGGAACCAAATTATCAGCCACCAGTAACTTTCATAGTGGTTCAGAAACGTCATCACACTAGGTTGTTTGCGAATAATCATAATGATCACCACTCAATTGACAAGAGCGGAAATATTCTGCCTGGTTAGTTTCTTAGAATGCTTGATACAGATATTTGATTCGCCCATTATTACACATCTTTCTTGCTATTTTAATGTTCTTAAATTTTATCAAGATGCATGAGAATTAACTGTGAGCTGGTTTGATGTTGGAATATGTAGGTACTGTAGTTGACTCTAAGATCTGTCATCCAACTGAGTTTGATTTTTACTTGTGCAGTCATGCTGGCATTCAGGTATACTCTCCTGCAGCATTTGTTCTGCCTGCATGATTTTCCAATTCACTGATCTGCTTGGTAATTGGTTACAATCTGATTATGTCACATACATAGGGCACAAGCCGACCTGCTCATTACCATGTCTTGTGGGATGAGAACAAATTCACGGCTGACGCATTGCAAACCCTAACAAACAACCTTTGTTACACGTAAGACCTTTCATTTTGTACGTTCTGGTTAGCTACTACTGCAGATTTGAGTTGTCTGCTCAACGCCTCTTGATATATTTGCAGCTACGCAAGGTGCACTCGATCTGTGTCCATAGGTATGCTCGTCCTGTCTAGTCTTTTCAAAACATTGTTCTTTCATACATTAAGCCGTATATGAGCAATTTGCATAAGCATTAAAATTACTTGGGCAAATGATATATCCCTAACCAAACTATTTTATGGTTTTGACAGTGCCACCTGCATATTATGCGCACCTGGCTGCATTCCGTGCCCGATTTTACATGGAACCAGAGACATCAGACAGTGGTTCGATGGTGAGTGGGGCAGTCGGACGCGGAGCTCCTACCCAACGCAGCACTCGTGTCCCAGGTGGTGCGGCTGTTAGACCCCTTCCAGCTTTGAAAGAAAATGTCAAGAAAGTCATGTTCTACTGTTGAACCGTGTGTTGTGGCTTCTACTACTCACTTGATGTTGTCTCTGCTCCTGTTTATTGTCTGCGGTAGGCTTGAACTTGATGGGTATTCACAAGTCAGGTACTATGACCCTCTTTGTTGAAACTTTTTCCGCAATCCTTTTATGAAGCAAGTCCTGATTTGATATGAACCCTTGGAAAGTGGTGTGGAGCTCTGATAGTAGTAAACTCACTGTAGTTTTTACCAAATTATAGGAAGAAGTGACATGATGCAATTGAAGAAAACAAAAAAGAATCAAGCAAGATTGTTAGTGTTCTATTGCCTCACACAGCATAGCACCTGTTGGTATGTTTAATTCTTCAGTCTCCCAAGCATATCTCAACCGCAGGGCATGTGGCTCTCTCTATGCACAAATCTTTACCGATTAGCGTTGATGAACTACATTTTAGATTGGGTTCTCAAGGCTTAATGTCACTAATAAAAAACGATTGTTGTTGAAGCATGTCGTATGGTTTCTCCCGATTCCATGAACAAGTTCACTCATTTGGATCTCGAATAATGTGCTCAACATATTAGTAAATTAACATATTAGTAATCTTATCTTCTATCATCCCCCGTAATCCTGATAAGGACAACGCCGCTGGCCGAAGACAATCCTGATAGATATTCATATGATTCGATTGATTGCGTAAGAACCGGAGAAAGCATACAGAAAAGATAATTTTTTTAATTATATATTATATTATATTATATTAGTTAGTGATCCCGGTTTGATAAATTCCTTTTTTTCGTTTAAATATGAAATAGGGTTGTGCCATGAGAGAAGCAAAACCTACTTTAAATATACAAAATGGATTAATATTTGTATATTGAGGAATGGATTTGGAGTTCCAAAGGAACGTGCTCCGAATTCTTCTTACCTACGTGAATATACTCACATTCTTAAGTCAATGGAATGTAAACATGGCTGCTTCATTGTGTTAAATGTACTTTTCACCGAGCAGTAAAAATCTTTCACAAATATTAAATAAAGAAGCTTTTTGAAAGATCAATGCCATTCTGTTGTATGCTTGTCCTCCTATGTTTAGGGGTTTAGGGGCTCTCTCTCTCTCTCTCCCTCCCTATATATATATATATATATATATATATATATATATACCTTTCGGAATGTATTTTTGCTAATCCCCCAACAATTTCTATACAGTCATCAAATTAATCATGTTTTAAACATGATTTTGGTTAAAATACTCACTCGTTCAGGGTTATAATATATTTCACCTTGTCAACGCCAAGAACTTAACATCAAGTATGGTAGATCGAGAGGTGCACGTACATATCTTGGAAGTTAATGATGAATCACTTAAGATTAAAGGATAAACATAATCAAGTACTTGTGTTTTTGATAAAAGCATATATACATACTTGACGACACAACGAATGAATGATGTTTATATTCCCATTACTCGCATTATACCAAAATCGTTAAGGTCACAGTGTGCAAAATACACCAGAGAGTTTGGTGCACAAAGCATGTGAACTGTGCAGGTTTGCAAGAACTTGGTCCGAGTACGCGACAAGTGTGGGGCCAAAGTGTGCATGTTTCCAAATGCATTTTCCCTAAGCTAATGAATGATATAAATGTAAATTAAATTATCAACAAGATAATGAATGATATAAATGTATGCATATATCATCCATGGGTACGTTCGAATGACACAGCCATGCACTCATGAATCCTTTTGATATGCTCAAGGTGCAAGAGACATTCTTCACTTTCAAGTTTAGGTTTACTGTAAGCCCTCCTCTTCTCTATCTCTCATGCAGACATAGTGTTCCATGCATGAGTTTACCTGGCTACGTCAATTCTCTCTCTCTTTTCTCAAAGTAAAATATTGGAAGAGGACAAAAGCAGGGTTTGGTGTCGGGATGTTTCTGTTTCATGCAGATAGAACAACTTTAGAAAAGAGCAGTTTTATTATTAGAACAGCAAATTCTCAAGGAGGAGAAATAAAGTACAAGAAACAGCAGTGAACAGAAAGAAAGAGAGAGGAAAAGGATATGACCATCTTAACGTTCTGAACAAAAAAGATGGGATCTATGTGATGAAGCAAGTGATCGAGATCCATATATATATATATATATATATATATATATATATATATATATATATATATATATATATATATATATATATATATCAATCGAGCTTTGACACCTAACAACAACACCAACTTTTAGCCAAGCTTGATTCGATACATACCTCTACTAACATCTGCTTCAGTTCCAGTCCTTGCACTTCTTTTGAGTTATTCTTCGACTCTTGTTGCAGTTCTTCTCTCTCTGTCTCTCTCTCTCTTGGGACACTTTTGGCTCTTACTGCAGCCTCCCACCACCAAAAGATCTAGTGGAGGATCCCGGCTTCATCTCCGAGTGATCCAGAGAGTCCATGTCAATGCCCAGTTGCTGTTCCCTCGGGGGAATTCCTCCCCCCATGCTTCTCATCATGTTGCCAACCCCGAGAAAGTCTCTTGTCAGTATGCCGGAGCCTCCAAAGCCTCCGGTCGAAAGGTTGCGGTGCAACTTGTCCTCGTCCATGGCGCCGAAACCCGGGTTGAAGCCACTGAACCCACTCACCTGCTCATCCATCCCACTGAACACACCACTGTTCCCGTTAGCAAGGGAGTTCATGATGTATTGGAAATGGTTCTCGTCGTCCACATGAGTTCTGGAGCTCTCTCCGCCGCCCTCCTTTGGATTGCGTCGAAAGCCGACATGCCTTGCACCGCCGGGGTAGGAGCCACTGAATTCTCCAAGCAATGAGCTTCCGCTGGCACCAATGGGTGTCGCTCCCATTTGGGCAGCCTTCTGAAGCAGTGCGGTCGCTGACATCTGCGGTACTACCGGCTCAGTGTGCAGAGAGGGGGTATACAGAGAAGGCATGTTGGTGTCAGTATGATCGCTCATGAGCTCTCCAGTGAACAGCGACATTGGCTCAGTACCTCCACCTGCATTGCTAAATTGATTAGGGCCCAGAAGAAGGCCGCTCTGGTTGCCAGAACTGCTGCCATGGTTGATGGTACTCGTGCTGCCGCTGCTAGAGAAGAAGCCAAGATTGAAAAGATTCGCGGCGGCAGCAGCAGAGGATGAAGCACTGTTGTTTGTCTGAAGGTCTTGGAGCTGCATCATGGCATGGAAGGGTTTGCTCGGAAGCAACTCCGGGTTTTCATCGAAGCCTTGGTTGGATGCGGCCCCCAAGTAGAACGGGGACGTGGTGGCGTTGAGCTGCTCGAATTTTGCGCTCCCGCTACTCCCCCTCAAGCGGAGGAGGTCGGTGGAAGGGTGGTGAGCTTGGTCTTGCAAAGAGGAGAGTTGCGAGCTCAGTTGTGGAAGGTCCAAGTTTGTGCCCCTGTTTGCGTACACATGGCCGCCGATGGTGTTCATGCCGGCCGGAATTCTTGCGCCTTCCTGTGCTAATGCATCACAGAAGGCTCTGTGGGTGATGAAGCTGTCTCGCCTGCGAAGATTCTAGTCAAAGTCAACTTATGATGCCACTAAAAGACTAAGATTGTAAGTTCACTGAGAAAGAAGGAATCAGAAATTTAAGATCATTTATTCTCAGCTTCTTCACCAGGCCCGATGAAGGTACAGACTTCGAAGGAAGAGAGCGCTAAACGAGTCCATTTTCCTGAGCGGCATTCAATGGAGGACCAAAGAATGAACGCTGCTTGAAGCAGGAAAAGGTCAGTCCACGGCCAGATCAAAGTCCCATTTTTGGGACTGACCCGCTCATCAATGCAATGGCGGAAATATGAATACCAACAATGGCATCCATAAATGGCCTTCTCCTCTTACATTAATGCCAACCCCATGAACCGATTCCGATTACACCATCCGCTCCTCATGGGCGCCCAAGGCAAGGCAAGAATGTTGCCGGATCAATGAAAGCTCATTCTAACACAGGTTACGAGTAGAAAGCTTCACATCCCGTGAGTGTGTGGCACCTGATCCAGGAATGATCGTCGCCAAAAAAATCCAGAGGCCACCCTTGAGATGAACTGGTGTGGACCTGCAGTGCCAAAACCATGCCCAGTTGCCCGCATATCTCCAAATCGCAAGGCAACAAATTAAGCCTGCTAAGCTTTGCCTCCAACTCAACACGTGAACACAATGGGGAATGAGAGAGAGAGAGAGAGAGAGAGAGAGAGAGA